GAGGCTGTCCCCAAAGGACGGCTAAGTCAGCGCAACGAGTGGTCAGACCACTCGGCTACCCTGACTGAGGTTTTCCGTGTTTTTCCTCAGTTGTAAGGTGAATGCCAGGGTATAATTTAATAGAGGCCACCCCCCTCCCCTGATCACGGAGGCCCTCAGCTGAAATGATCTCCCACCCATGCCAGAGACCTTCAGCCGAACCGGCCCCTCCCTCTCTGGGTTCAAACCTCAGAGAACCAACCAACCAAATTATTTGGACAAGTTGCCTGACGGGATAACCTCCCATCAGCAGCAACAGACCCTAGTTTGAAAGGCCGAGGTTCCCGCCACGACGGGACCCTGTTAGCGTTAGCAAAATTTTCCGTTTTTTTAGTTATAAGGCTCTTTGCCATTTCCGGCTATGCGTTTCGTAGGCAGGATTGGTGTTACCTAGCAAGAGACGATGTTTGCGCTTGCGCAGGACTCCGTTCATAGTTAGTCTTTTTGGTTGGGTGGGTGGTGGGACATGGGAGTTCGGTTCAATGAGATCAGGGGCCTGAAAAGAGCCAGTTAAGTGGTTTGGTTTGTTGTGACGGTGCACTTTTGCTCGCTCTCAGAGTCCTCGAAAAGTGTGAATAAGAGGCTTCCTGGACCGTCTGAGGTGATGTCCATCTTTTCTGTTCAAGTTATCGGAATGTAATTCGATCTCGATGTCTTCCCTGATCCGATCCATGTAGCCGATTTTTGTGGAGAGGATAGAAGTGTCCCCGAGCTTTATGTGGTGTCCCATGTTGAAGCGATGTTCAGGAACCGCAGATTTTTCAGGCAGCCCGAGCTTCTGTTGCCTTCCTACCCTACGTCGGGACGGCCTTCAACCGCATAAGCAGGCTGCTGGCCAGGCACAACATCAAGTCTGTTGGTCTTCCGCCAAAGAAAATTACCAGTTTTCCCCGGCCGGTCAAGGACGACCTAGGACTGAAGACGCCAGGCTTATACAGCGTTCCCTGCGAGTGCGGCAAATTCTACATTGGCCAAACAGGCCGTTTTGTTGAGGAGAGAGTCAGGGAGCACGAGCGCGACAAAAATGTTTACCCTCAGTTACGTTCCACATTAATATAAAAGTAAAGTTTGTCCCGCTATACGCCATGTAGGCGTTTGGGGTGAGTGGAGGTATAGCTCCTCTCTTCCTTGACCTCGGCACTAGATGGGGGTGAGTGGTCAGCATCACGCCCCGGCCGGCTTTACCCCCGGGAAAGGATCCCGGTACCCATTGTAGAGGAGGCTGGGTGGGCCCCAGAGCCGGTCTGGACGCAGAGGCTAGAGGAAAAATCCTCTGCCCCCGTCGGGGATCGAACCCCGGTCGTCCAGCCCGTAGCTAGTCACTATACTGACTGAGCTATCCCGGCTCATTCCACATTAATATAACTTACTTAATTTACCTAAATTATTATTACAAACTAATGTATTCAGTAGAAATTTTCCTTTGTGAATTAAATGTCCAGTGCATTCCTGTAAATTTTTATAACCTTTTATACTCTACTATTGTGTTCGTGTGCTTCACTCTTGTGCTGTATCTGTAATTGGCCTTCTGGCTGTTAATATAGCACACTAATAATAAATGATTGAACTGAATTTATGACCAAAAGAATAGCATAGGTTACCGTGAAGTCTTAAGGATTTTATTTAATGAGGATACTATCTCGATGGTGATTTGTACTGTACCAATGTACAATTCTGATTTCCACAGAAGAACTAACATCAAAAGCTGAAAATAACACCAAGAAGTTTTAACATTGTAACATAAAAGGTGTTAACATTTGTAAGATTTGAGGTTTTCACAGCGGTGAGTATGAAGATTTCTGTCTTCTGGGTTGTTGCGCTGTGTAGTCTGGTCGATGTTAACCAACGTTTCGAAGGACATACTGCTTCCATCATCAGGGCGATGAGTATGAATATTTCTGTCTTCTGGGTTGTTGCGCTGTGTAGCCTGGTCGATGTTTACCAACACAGCGCAACAACCCAGAAGACAGAAATCTTCGTGTTAACATTTAATTAAAAGAATTGGATTCCCCAGTGATCAGCAGAGGTGTAATAATATGTGAAGGTAAATGATGATCTAAGGGCGGACCAGAGGGTTCAAACCATGTTGTGTTATACAAAATACTAAGACATATAGAGGCATTTTAAATGTTGTGTATTGATAGTTAATAATAATGAATAGAATAGAATTTATTTACATTCCATAGATCCTTCATAATTCTAAGCCAAGGATGTAGAACAGGTCATGGCACAAATACAATACTTGTTTCTAGTACAAATATAAATTCATAGTTAAAACAGCTATTGACACATTTTTGGAACTACAGTATTACAGCAAAATAATTATGATGAAAACCATCGCCATTATTACTCACAAGTATTTATAATTCTTCTACTTAGTAGAAGGAGTGAGATAGGAGATACTCTTTTAACATTGGCTTAAACATTTTTATATCGTGGTTTAAACTTTTTATATTAGATGGAAGATTATTGACTAACTTAATTCCAGTATAGGAAACTCCCTTTTTATTTTTATTGAGGTTAGAAATCAGCATTGAAGGTTATATCTGTATCTTGTTCTCATATTACGGATATCTGTATTTGTTTGAAATGTACAAGTTTATTTTAAAATTTACTCACTTAATATACGTTGTTAAACTGTTTTTGGTTAAAAGCAGGGCAAAGAAAAATGTCCAGGAATTTGTGTTGTTATCCGAAAAAATTATGCATAACACCAGAAAGACAAAAGGAAAGTAAATTCAAGATGAACAGACTCCTCACATTTGTGTTGACTATCAACAAAAGAAAAATTTAAATGATATTTATTTATTATCTTCTATTATAAAAAGCAGTGCAGGAATTTTAAAATTAATATATTACATTTATAAATATCTGATTAGTCAAAAATTTAGTGTAAAAATCCTTCTTTTTCAGAAACATTTTAATAATTTCGAATCTAAAGGGTTCTGACAGTGGTGGATTATACTTAAAATGATTCATTGTCTGTACTTTTCCATCATCCTTGTTTAAAAGAAGAAGTACCTGGAACCACATCCTATTCTTTGTCAGACAGTAAACGTGGGCTACTTTTAAATTACATAGCGCAGAAAAAAATGTATAATAGGATCATAGCTACTGCTGCTTCTTTCCAGCAGATACATATTTTCATTCCATACATAGCTTTATTAATATTTGTACATATTAATTTCTTTCAGCCTCCAGTGGCAGTAACATATCTTGTACATGATATTTTGCTTTGTATAATCTAATGTAAATAAGAATGCCAGTCAACATGGCAGAAATAATGATGAGTATGACCAAGCATCCAACAATCAGGTTTTTCACATCATCAGCATTTTGAACTTTGATAGTCGGCTGTACATTAGTTGATTTCTCTGGGTTGCATGTTAGATTCTGAAGTTGTTCTCTGATACTAACTATAACACTTGCTTCTGGAAGTCGGCATGTGGCCATTGGGTTTAGAAAATGTGCATTCCACCACAGCCATACATCCCATAAAGCACAATCACAGATGAGTGGATTCCCTGATAGATTGAATGTTCTCAGACTGTTGAGTGGCTTCAGGAGCTCAAAGTTCACAGAGGTCAATTTGTTATCCTGGAGTTCAAGCATACGTAGCTTATTCTGTGAATTTAATAGACTAGAATCCAATGATGTCAACAAATTTCCATCAAGATATATCTGCTCCAAGTTTGTGAGAGTTTCAAATGCCCTGCTACTAATTGTTGTTAATTGGTTATTGTATAATGATAAGGCTCTTATAGACGTTGCACCGATAAAAATACCGTCATTTATTTCCACAAGTTTATTGTCATACAGCCATAGGATTTCCAATTTTGGCATCTGACTAAAAGCACGATCCTGTATTGACCTGATCTGATTGTGGTGAAGGGAAAGGTTTTTTAAATTTATCAGTTTAGAAAATGTGTCCTCCTCTATAGTAACCAGCTGGTTATTAGATAATGCCAGAAATTCTAAATTGACTAAACTATTAAACCACTCTTTATCCAACTTACTTAGTGCATTGTTTATTAGATTCAGAGTTTTGAGATTCTTTTGTGATTTGAATATTTCTGATGGAAGAGATTCAATTTTGTTTTTTTGTAACCAGAGAATGATCAAGTTCTCCAGATTACTAAATATTTTAGCGGGTAATGTGGTCAACATGTTCTCATTCAAATAAAGAATTGTAAGTTCATGCAAAGACATAAACAGTGACTCTGGGAGATCTTTCAGCATATTCTGATCAAGGTCTAATCTTTTCAGATTTGTAAGTGATGAGAAGACATTGGCACTAAGAGAACTTATAAGGTTGTTTTCTAATTGAAGCACGAGGAGGTTGCCTGACAGTTTGAATGTATCAGAGGACACTAACATCAGTTTCTTAGAGGAGCAGTCAGCAGTTTGGTTGGTAGAACACTGGCATATTGACGGACACATGGCAGTCATAACTGGAGACAGACCCACGATGAGCAAGAACCACACCAACCTTCCCATTTCAACTGAAACGAAAGTTAAGTGCTAATGAGAGTATTTGCCTCAAGAAAGAAAACGTAACAGGAGGATGGAGAAAATTGCATAAAATTAATCCTTAACCAAATATTATCAGGATAAAAATCAATAAGATGAATGTTTCTTTCAGAAATGGGGTGTGAATATGTAGATTCTGAATGGGTTGCAAAGGTGGGCACTTGTAAACATGGTGTTGAAACTTTTGTGTCATAAAAGTAATTTCTGAACCAGCTGTGTGGGTGTTTCAATGGATAATTCTATGTAAAATGTGACTGATTGAGAGAAATAGAAATAATTCCATAAATGGTGACTTCTGAGTGTTTATCTTTGCATAATTTGTTCCAGATAAAAGTCATTTCACCTGAGTAATTCATCTAAACTGTGTAGATATGACTTAAAATGTTACTTCCAACTACCATGTTCTTTATGGACATTCAGGAGTAAATAAATCAGAATTCATATATATTGTAATATGTTTATAGCAGAAAGTATATTATATCAAATTAACGTCTTTTTAATGGGATATAGTTCTGCTTAAGAGATGACATTTAAAAAGACGGATTTATTGTTATCCTCCATGTTTATTTTACTTTTATAAAGTCAGAATTTGTAAGGGCCGGGATAGCTCAGTCAGTATAGTGACTAGCTACGGGCTGGACGGCCGGGGGTCAATCCCCGACGGGGGCAGAGAATTTTTCCTCTAGCCTCTGCGTCCAGACCGGCTCTGGGGCCCACCTGGGGTCCTTTCCCGGGGGTTGAGCCGGCCGGGGCGTGATGATGACCACTCACTCCCATCTAGTGCCGAGGTCAAGGAAGAGAGGAGCTATACCACCTCTCCCCCCAAGCATGTAGCAGGACAAACTTTACTTTACTTTACTTTACAGAATTTTTAAGTTCTGTTTTTTCCAATGTGGAAGACATTTTTTCATTATATTTCACCTGATATCTTCAGTGTTTACCTTCATCTCCTTTGTATGACATAAGACTCCATTCACTCTGTTTACGGTGTTCCAACCTGTATTTCAGTACCCTTTCCAGTCCCTGGACTAAGGCATTGTTAAAGAAGAGGGATACAATAAAGTATATCACAGAAAAATTTGAGAGTGATGCAGTGTATGATAATATCAGTAATAAACTCTATTACAAAATGATGCACTTGTACAAAATACTACCCTTAAAATAAGTAACCAAAGATTGTTGTATGGTATAGTGGTTATCATCCTTGCTTCATATTTCAGAAGCATCAAATTTGGAACTCCGTCCAGAAACCTGCTATCCTGACTGAAATTGTTGTGGTTCTCTCATTCTAAAGGAAAAATAGGCGACAATTATTTCCACATCCTTCCAAATTTATATTTCACAATTGTACCTTTGTTCTGCATTATAAATACACACGTTTGAGTTGGGCAAGCCTAATTAAATAAACTAAAGCAAGTTAAGAAATATGTGCATTGCATCAAAATGCTACCACATTTACAAGAATTTGATTGTGGTCCTTGAGAATGGTGACAGTGACATCAGGATAGTGTGACGATTCTGAATTGTCACTTCTGCACGCTTAAACGCATGCAGGTCTTTAAGCAAAGGCCCCCTTTTTGTCTGATTTAAACTATAACGTAAATGTGTCGACCAGTTTTAGTATTAAATAAAATATAGTATCAGATTTAAACCGATTGCATTCAGCAGGTCTCGAAGATGCTACATGTGGACAGTCAGACAGATATTTAGGGCCGTCGCACATGAGACACCTAACCGCGCAGATGTGAGAGACGGCTAAGCTGCGCGTCATGGCAGTCCAGAAAACCATATAATAGAATCATGGGCAAAGTATTCGGCGCGTTTTCGTCCGTAACTGATGGTTCTTCACGGTCACGGTGGAAGTTTTGGCGACGCCTTGCTAAAAACATTTATCTCTGGTTTCAGTTCTGAATAGTAGTTTACGTCGTACAAGTTGCGGCTTCACCCAAACCCATACCTTATACGCGCCACCTAAGCAGTGACATGTCTGTGGCTCGCCACTAGCCGCGAGCACAAAATGTGGCCTGCCCGGATTCTGGTATCAGCATTTAAATAAGCACCGCAAACAGCGGCACTGCTGCCACAGTCACGCGTGCTCATGAAAGGAAGTCGTTTCAATATTTTGAAAACATAAGGGCTTCACAGTTGAAACCGAAGATTATTCAGCAATATGGGCCGCATAAAAGATGCTAGGAACAATAAACAGAAAAGCGGGACGTCTGGCATGAAATATTTCATGCAGGGTTTTAAAACATGGAAATAAAGAGGACATATATGGCGGTATTCTGGATTGAAGCGCAGTGAGTTGAGGACGAAAGTAAATTTACCAAGTTCGGCCCATATGCGTACTTTGATACGTATTATTTTGGTACTTAATTGTAAATTCTTAATTTTTTTAAAGTTTAACACTGAAGTAATATACTTGGGCAATAGTCCTTGGTCAAAAGAAAAAATGTCGAGGAAAAGAAACAGTAGACTTAGTTAGTATTAAAATATATTAAAATTGGCCGTCAATCACAATATAAGATAATTAAAAGATTAAAATATCATTTTTCGTTCCGTATCGAGTACTCGATTTACATATGGAACATTTACGACATGTTTCGGCTATCATAGAGCCGTCATCAGGTGTTATGTTATAAACTTTTTAACTGAATTACTGATTTTTAATGATTTTTAGTTTTCATTTTTCTTATCATTTTCTCATCCTTCATATTGTATCTTCATCCGTTGTTGTGTCACATGTCACTAATATGATTGTATGTCGTAGTGATGCCAATGTTGTGTATATTGGACTGTGAAGTAAAGGTTTCAATACTATTAATGAAAATTGAATATAGAAAACAAAATAAATAGATGAAAGTAATCATGTAAACTTACCCGAGAAGTAATATCGTAGCAGTATTAGGAGAGATTGGAGGTATACTGTATCGGAT